TGAGCTGAAGAGCTGAGGGACAGTGCCCAGGCCAAGTTCAGGCCCCACGACCGACCAAGAAAAAAAAAAAGAATTCAGATAGTTCTTTTGGACAGTTAATAGGATTTACTTGGGGAGTACAGTATTTATAGAACTTACTTGTCAGCATTGTTGGTTTTGTATATCAGCTTTTGTTTTTTTAAAAAAATCACATATAGAGCTTGAACTCGGGATCTGGGAACTGTCTCTAAGCTCTTTTGCTCAAGGCAAGCACTATTGGCATTGAACTACAGAACCACTTCCTATATCAGCTTTTTTTTGTTGTTGTTTTTTCGTTTGTTCTTGGGGCTTAAACTCTTTGGCCTTGGTGCTGTCCCTCAGCTCTTCAGCTTTCCAGTTTTCTGAGTTGTTTATTGGAGATAAGAGTCTCACAGACTTTCCTGCCTGGACTGGCTTTGAACCTCGATCCTCAGATCTCAGCCTCCTGAGTAGCTAGGATTACAGGCATGAGCCACCAATCTTCAGCCCTATATCAGCTTTTTAAACACATCCCCTTTAAGTAATTTACTTGTTTGAGGGTTTTTTTGCATACATTTAATGGCTACAGGATGTTAGTTTTATAGTAATTGCTACAATTTATTGGCTTTTATATGCCTTATTTAGTTTTCACATATAATTTACATGGCTTTAATATATTATTTTTTACCCATGTTATCAACTAGGTAAAAAAAAAAAATCCCAATTTAAGACTGGAAGCATGGCTTAAATGGTAAGAGTCAACCAAGAAAGAAAGCAGAGCAAGGGTGTGAGGACCTGAATTCAAGCCCCAGGACCAGCACAAAATAAACCCTAATTTCCAAAGCAAACCTCAGAGCAGCTAGGTAATGGAAGGACACAACTAGCAGAGGAAGATTTGAAACTAGGATAGTATGATTCCAGACCAATTACAAATAGTGTCTCATTTGAATGACAGGTCACTGGGTGGTTCATTCTCAAAGTCTGAGTGCTTAAGTTACAGGTTCCTTAACACTTGTGGTTCATTCTAGTTAGGGAACATGAAGAAGAATGTTTAAAGCATACCTGAATACTTTAGAATTGCCCAGAAGTAAAACTTTCTAACATTTTGACAAGCTTTTCACAATCATTTGAGAACAAAATTCTGCAAAGATGATTGCAGAAACTAGTTTTTAGTGTACTGTTCATAGATGTATATATGTAGTCACTTGCTTTTTGTAGATTCATTCTTTAATTTTTCCCCTTTGATAGTACCAGGGTTTAGACTCAGAGCCTCATACTTGAGCAATATCACTGTGCATTTAACAGGTTCAGAAGAAAGGTAAAAACTGCAGCAGGCCTTGTGGGGCTTGAAGCTAGGGCCTGGACGTTGTCCCTGAGCCTCTTTATGCTCAAGCTAGTGCTCTACCACTTAAGCTACTGCCCCACTTCCAGTTTTTGAGTAGTAAACTGGAGGTAAGAGTCTCATAGGGACTTTTCTGCCCAGGCCAGCTTTGAACCTCAATCCTTAGATCTCAGTCTCCAGAGTAGCTAGGATTACAGGTGTGAGCCACCAGCGCCCAGCAGGCCTTTTTAAATAAAGGAGGAAGTTAGGGTCATTTTTCTATCTTAAAGAAAATGAGCTATTTAAAAGATGGCAATTTGGGCTGGGAAGGTGGCTCAGTGGTAGAGCGCTTGCCTTGCATGCCTGAGGCCCTGGGTTCGATTCCTCACCACCACATAAGCAGAAAAAGAAAAAGCCGGAAGTGGTGCTATGGCTCAAGTGGTAGAGCGCTAGCCTTGAGCTGAAGAGCTGAGGGACAGTGCCCAGGCCCAGAGTTCAGGCCCCACGACCGGACCAAAATTAAAAAAATAAAATAATAAAATAAAAGATGGCAATTTTTTAACTTCTTCATTTAATTATTTTCATTATTAGCTTACATTAGTCATACTGGTAGGGGAAAATTCCATTGCTATATTTCCACACATTTACAATGTATTCCAGTCCATCTCACAGCCCCTCTATAACTCTCCCTTCTCCCATTCTCATCCAAACATTTTTAACATGATTGAGTTGGAAGAAAAGAGGTAGAAAAAGAAATAGGAGAATAGTTTTTTTTTCTTTAGTCAGGCACATACTGTTCTCTCTTTGTTATCTGGAGTAACATTTCTCCAACAGTACATCTTGCAAGTTTCTATCACTATTACAAATAGTTGAAAATCAATCAAAAAGGAGAAAAGGTTTATTTTAGCTCACAAGTTCAGAGGTTTCAGTCTAATGGGTACCACTCTTATAGGCCTAAGGGGAGGCTATATATGATGGCAGTTCATCTCATGGTGGACAGGATGCAGTAAGACAGAAAAGAGTCTGAGACTAGATAGCCCGTAAGAACACATCCCCAAAGACCTAATGCCTCTAACATTACATACCTCTAAAAGTCCCCATCATTTCCCAATAATGCCATCAAATTATGAATCAATTAATAAACTAATCCATAGTCCTTATGATTCATCTGCCTTCCTAAAACCCCACTAGCTGGTAACCAATACTTCAACACATGAGCCTTTCTAGAGAATACTTCATATTCAGACCATAACAAAGAGTCATGTTCAGATACTGGGAATGCAGAGGAATTAGTGGTTGGTTTGGGGGTCAGTGATTAGAGGTAAAAGTTACATTTAGGCCAGGGGTTGGTGGCTCACACCTTTAATCCAAACTACTCAGAAGGCTGAGAGCTGAGTGGTCCCAAGCCAGGCCAGGCAGGAAAGTCCATAAGACTCTTATCTCCAATTATCATAGAAAAAGCAGAAAGTGGTGCTATAGCTAAAGTGGTAAAGTACTAGCCTTGAGCAAAAGGAGCTTAGAGACAGTGCTCAGGCCCAGAGTTCAATGACCAGGACTGGGGGGGGCAGAGGAGGTTCACATTTAGGAGGAAATCATATTGACATAAGCCAAACTCTAAAAGCAAAATATTATGTTTTCACTCATATGTGGAAGCTAGGCCTAAAAGACATACATTTTAAGGAGATAATTCCATGTTCTATAAATGGGGATTCTGTAACAATTGTGAGGAATGAATAACTTAATTAAAGCACCAGAATAGTTACTGAGGGAATAGAGATCAAAATATTACTTGGTCAAATCTCTTTATTTCATTTTATTACAGAACCAGGACATCTCCCCAATGTCAATTACTTATCTCTTACTACTAGACTTTCTAAGATGGAAAACCACATCCATCCCCCTAGAGCTAAAGGAGGTGTTCAAAACAGATTTGTTGAAAAAAATAGCTGAAAAGTTGAGGTCTTGTCCAATCAGTGTTATGACTGACTTCAAAACCATGCCTTTTCAATAAACCAAATTGCCTCTTGCACAAATGCATGAGTCTTATATTTGCAACTGGTCTATCTGACAAAGAATAAAAGATGGTATTCATGATAAAGAACAAAAGCTGCATGGCAACAGGAAGAACAGTGGGAGCTGGCATCTTGAAAGTAACACTAAGTGAACACAGATGCCAGCTTATTCCAAGTTCCCGCACTGCTCACCTAGGTATCAGTTTCCTCTTTTAAATAAGGAAGGAGGATGGGTATATCATCTTTAAAATGTTTCCAATCCTAATCCAATCAGTGATCATAAATAAAATGATACCACAATTGTGTGTGTGTGTGTGTCTGTGTGTGTGTGTGTGTGTGTGTGGTGCTGGTGCTGGTGCTGGTGCTGGTATTAGGGCTTGAACTTGACCCTGGTTCTGTCCCTTAGCTCTTTTACTCAAGGCTGGTGCTCTATCACTAGAGCCATAGCTCCACTTCAAGTTTTTTGTGCATTAATTAGATGTAAGAGTCTCATAGGCTTTCCTGCTGTGGTTGGCTTTGAATCCTGATCCTCAGACCTCAGCCTTGTGAGTAGCCAATATTACAGGCATGAGACACTGACATCTGACATATACAGCACTTTTTTTTTTTTAATGAATTTTTCCTTTGGTTTTCCTTTGGGTGGGAAAAGACTGATTCTTTTGAGGCAGGCTATCATTATGTACCCAAGGTTGACCTCAAACTAATAGTGTTCCCACCTCAGCCTCCTGAGTGCAGAGATTTCAGGTGGGTACCACTCTGAGCCCAACTAAAAGAAGTTTTTAAATGAAAGAGGCAGAGACAAACACATGGGGGAAGGAGGGAGGGAGGAAAATGAAATAAAGCAGGAAGTAAGGAAGGAATTAAAAGAAGCTTAGCCAGCTGGTAGACAAACTTTCAGAGGACATGATTTTTAAGAATTTGTTCAAAGGACTTAATAAACCCTGTTAATAAGGTAAATCAGCGAGTCTATAACCCAGAAATTGCTAGACTCTCTGTGGAAGTACAAATGAGTTAAGAGCCACACAAATACTCTTAATCAGTAAGTTAAGCTGCCACCACGGGTGAGCAGTAGTGAAATATGTTTTCAAAGCAGGCTAACCAGGGCATATACAACACGACACATTTCAGTATGCAATTCGAGCAGGGTATAAAGTCACTTGCAAAATCTATTGGCAATCCCGACACAGTAGAGTACTTCAAGTCAGGATCAACGGCTCTAACTATCTGAACAGCAATTCACCACGTCCCTTCAAAGAAGCAGGAAAGATGTAAGGGAGCGTGGAAACTCTGAGGAACTCTTTTAAAGCATGCCCTGGAGAACTAAAGACCAAGGCAACAGCGAAGGCGCTACAACGTGACCAGGGGCGGCACAGGTACAGAATCCGCCGATGCCAGACGGCCCAGCAGCCAGCCTCCCTCCCTCCCTCCCGTAGGCCTCTGCCCGCCCGGCCCCAGCCGCCCAAGGCCGCTCCCCAGGCTCCAGCGCGAACTCGAGGATGGAGGTTGGGAGCACAGGGCCAGAGACTGCGGCGCCAGTCCGGGTGAGGAGCGAGCGAGCGCCGGAGGGGACGGAGCTCCACGGGAACCGCCGGGCGCCAGGACCCAGCCCGCGGCCGGGTACCCAGAGGAAGCCTCTACTCCAGGCCCGCAGGAACCACGTCACCGCTCACCTTCAGGGTCCACAAGCCCGCACTCCTCATCCACTGTGGTGGTGGCCGCCGCCCTCGTCCTCCGGCCGCAACCAGGGCCACAGCTCCTACCCAGAGCCCCGCCATGGCAGCCCCTAGTGACCGGTGCTCTTCTGACCTCTCACCCCGTAAGGGGAGGGGGCGGGAGAGGGGAGCGCCGGGATTCGGCCAATCAAGAGTCTGGGAGCCTTGGCCCCGCCCCCTCCCTGCTAAGGCCAGGGAAAGGAGGTTGCTGTGAACAGTCCGGGCTCGGGCTGCGCGCGCGCTAGGACCCGAAGGAAGCAGACCCGCGGCGCGCCTGACCACAAGGGCCGGGAGCCCAGAACCTGCAGGAAGAAAGGTGTCTGGGTTTGGCTAACTACCAGGGGTAAACTCCCCGGAGTTTGCTTCGACAAATCAACATTCTGCCGGCCGATTTGTTATCATCCAATCCGCAGGAGTCCTGCTCGAGTTTGCCTTTCCTGCAGAATCACCTTGAAAATCGTAATGCTGTGACCTACTCAAGTACTACCTACTGTACTTGTACAAGCTGCTGTACTTACGATTAGCTACTACTCGTATTAGCTACTACTGTGAGCCAAAGCTCCATTTCAGGTTTTCCAGTGATTCATTGGAGATAAGAGTCTCACAGATGTTCCTGCTGGACGGGCTTTGAACCGTGAGCCCCAGATCTCAGCCTCCTGAGTAGCTAGGATGACAGGCATAAGCCCCCAGCACCCGGATATTCCATTTGTATTTAAACTAGCTCGACTCTTCTTTTGTTTGCTATTGCAGATTCCTACTCATTAAGTTATCATCCTAAATTAAATAGTGTGCGCATACTAAGACCAGGGAGCCGGCTGTGCCCCCAACTTTGTTCCTGTACAGCAACTGAAGTTTTATGTAGACATGTTTTGTGGCAAGTGGCCTTGTCATCACAATTCATTGACTCAACAATGAGAACCTGACCATTATGGAAGATCTCAAAAAAATTTCTGAGAAACACATGAGATCCCAGTCACTGTTAAACAATCACTGTATACTCCACTACGATAAATACTCTTCTATATATGAGGCTACAACTATAGCAACTAATATTTTACCACGTAAACTGGGCATGATAGTACCCAGAAAGCTAAGGCAAGAGAGCTTTAAGTTCTAATCTAGTCTGGTCTTACATATCATGACCCTGAAAAAAAAAAAAAAAAGCACCTAAAACAAATAAAAAGAAAAATACAAGTTAAAATGGAAAAGTGTCACAATGTGGTTTATTGGTAAGGACATAAAGGTCACTTTAGTTTGCTTGCTTTTGCTTTGGGGTGTTTACTGTTTCAAGGGCTTAGTGCCACACTTAGCACACTAAGCTTGGTATTAATCTCTTTTTATGCTTGTGTATTTCATAATATTGGCACAACTTAAATGAAAATAAAATCATGCCCTGCTTAGCAGCAGCAAAATAATTACTTACATCAGGAAAGGCCTTTACACCAAGGCCTCAACACTATGAATCTGATAAATCAAAAGTAGTTGTATTTCTTTTTTTTCCTTTTTTTTTTTTTTTTGGTGGGTTGTGGGGCCTGAACTCTGGGCCTGGGCGCTGTCCCTCAGCTCTTCAGCACAAGGCTAGCGCTACCACTTGAGCCACAGCGACACTTCCGGCTTTTTCTTCTTATGTGGTGGTGAGGAATCGAACCCAGGGCCTCATGCATGCAAGGCACGCACTTTACCACTGAGCCACCTTCCCAGCCCCAAATAGTTGTATTTCAATACATTGTAATTTGCACTTTTTTTTTGGGGGGGGGGGGGGGTCCGGTCGTGGAGCATGAACTCTGGGCCTGGGCACTGTTCCTCAGCTCTTCAGCTCAAGGCTAGCGCTCTACCACTTGAGCCACAGCACCACTTCCGGCTTTTTTCTTTTTGCTTATGTGGTGCTGAGGAATCAAACCCAGGGCCTCAGGCATGCGAGGCAAGCACTCTACCACTGAGTCACCTTCCCAGCCCCTGCACTTTTTTATATAAGGAAATGATGCCTAGTATTTTTCCAAATTTTTCACAGTTATTTGCCTTTTTTTCTTGGTGCTAGTACTGAAGCTTGAACTCAGAGCCTCTAGCTCTTGTTATGCCTTTTCTCTCACAGCTGTCACTCTGCCACTTAAGCTACACTTCCAGTTCTAAATAAAGAGTCTCTTGTATTGGTCTATTCCAGCTGGATTCAAATTTCAATTCTCAGATCTTAGCCTCTTGAATAGCTAGGATTATAGGTGTGAGCCAACATCACCCAGCTACAGTAAATGTTAATGTGGGATAAAGCCATCTCCTTTCTACTTCTCTTGCTTTTAAGTATGTTCACAGAAATTCTAGCTTATTCATTTTCTATATGAAATTTTTAATTGAATTCCAGGAAAACTACTGGCATTTTTTAAAATTCAGATTAGATTACATTTATACGTTAACTTGGGAAAACTTGACAGGATTATGGTACTATGTGATCTTACCCAAGAATAAGGAATGTGTTTCTACCTCCATTTTTGTAGTTTTTCAGGACTGTTCAAATCTTCCCCACATGGGCTTTGTACATAATCTTTTTTTTTTTTCTGGTCATGGTGCTAGAACTCAGGGCTTAAACAATTCAGCTCAAGACTAGCACTTTACCACTTTGAGCCACAGCACAAATTCCAGTTTTCTGGTGGTTAATTGGGGATGAGTCTCACAAACTTTCCTGCCCAGGCTGACTTTGAACCATGATCCTCAGATCTCAGTCTCCTGAGTAGCTAGGATTACAGGTGTTGAGCCACCCACACCCAGCTATTCATAATCTTTTAAACTATAGTGACCTCATCCTTATGTGACTAGGTCAAATGAGTATGATCAAATTTCCTGGCAGCTTTTCCTTTTGAGAAGAAGTAGGAAAAAGGGCAGACAGAGAGGTAAACAGAGTAGTAAACAGATTTTATGTTCCACTTTCCCTGTTCTTTCTCTCTACTGAGGACCTGGCATATATTAATATTGCTGTCCATACTAATATGTTTTACTCACTGGCACACTGTCATTAGTAAGCTTAACTGGACAGTATCACTGAGTGTAACATGAGATAAGAAATAACCTAGAGGACGAATTTGAGTATCTCAGGTATAACAGGACTTTATGGTTAAATTATTTTATTTTTAACTCAATTCAGAGATTTCTGAAGGGTCCATCACATCTGCCTAGAGCAAAAGCAGCCAGAATTAGGACAGAAGTTTCATTATGTCTCACGAAGGTGAAGGCAGGGTCTTCCTGACACTGCATCTGATACTACTGTGAGTGCTCTCCTGGGAGACCTTAGGTAATGCTAGGCCTGGAATAACAGAATTAAACTGTCTATTTCTTTTCTCAAATTCTTCCCATTCCTTTTCACCTCAGAGAACAAAGGTTTGTTGACAAGGGCCAGAGGCAATCTTGTGTTAATATCTTGTTTAGCCATCTCTCTATTGGTGGAAGCATCTCAGTCTCTTCTGAGACCCTAAGAGTTATCTGTAAAAGTATCTGTTTAAAGTAAAAGACCTCTTTTACAGGTTTCCCATGCTTTGAATGCTTCCTGGTACTTTTCTTCCTCTTAACACATACCAGAACATTCATGCTATGAAGTTATGTGTGTGTGTGTGTGTGTGTGTGTGCATGTGCGTGTGCATATGTATATGTGTATATATATGCATATATGTATATATGCATATATATACATATATATTAAGTGGAATGAAAAAGCTAGGAGCCCGTGGTTCATGCCTGTAATCCTAGCTATTCAAGAGGATGAGATCAAGGATCATGGTTCAAAGCCAGCCTGAGCAAGAAAGTCTGTGAGCCTCTTATCTCCAGTTAACCATTAAAAATCCAGAAAAAGAGCTGTGGCTTGAATACAAAACATCAGAGATAGTGCTCAGGCCCTGAGTTCAAGCCCTAGGACTATTTAAAAAAAAGAATGAGGAGAAGGGAGCAGAGGCTTACTTAAGGCCTGTAATCCTAGCTACTCAGAGAGTTGAAGGGAAGAAGATCCTAGCTTGAGGCCAGCGCAGGTAGAAAGTTTTGCGAGACCCCTCTCAATCAACAGCTGGGCCGTGGTAGCATATGCCTGTCATGCCAGCCTCACTTATACACAGAGAACTGGTTGTTCAACTGCACTGTATGTAGCATTTGGCAGCCATTATTGCCTCTCTATTGGTCTCTCAGTGCTATAAAGATTGCACACTTCGGACAGATACATTTTGTCCCAAGCAGATCAATAGATACACCAATTACTGCTTTGGATTTCACCAGTTACTTGCAGTTGGCCAGCTGTTTGGAATGTAGCCAGTTTGAGCAAAGAAATATCCTTATTTGTGGTTCTGTTGCAGCAATGAAATTTACAACCACAGTCTGGCGCTGGTGGCTCACACCTGTAATCCTAGCCATTCAGCAGGCTGAGGTTTGAGGTTCAAGGTTCAAAGCCAGCCCAGGCAGGAAAGTCTATGAGACTCTTATCTCCAATAAACCACTAGAAAACCAGAAGTGGCGCTGTGGCTCAAGCAGTAGAGCACTCACCTTGAGCTGAAGAGCGCAAGGGCAGCTCCCAAGTCCAGAGTTCAAGCCCCATGATCTGCAAAAAAAAAAAAAGAAGGGCTGGGAAGGTGGCTCAGTGGTAGAGCGTTTGCCGTGCATGCATGAGGCCCTGGGTTCGATTCCTCAGCACCACATAAGCAAAAAGAAAAAAGCCGGAAGTGGCGCTGTGGCTCAAGTGGTAGAGCGCTAGCCTTGAGCTGAACAGCTGAGGGACAGCGCCCATGCCCAGAGTTCAGACCCCACGACCGGACCCAAAAAAAAAAGAAAAAAGAAATTTACAACCACAAAAAGATGCAATATCACTTAGATGGTAAGATTATCTTTATGACAAGGGAAGAACTGATATGGATATTTGCTTTTCTTTAAAAAAAAAAAAAACTATCAGTAAGGAAGTATTCCTGAGGCAGGTGTCAGTGGTTCACACCTATAATCCTAACTACTCAGGGAGCTAAGATCTGAGAACCCAAGTTTGAAGACAGCCCTGCCAGGAGAGCCCTTAAGACTCTTGTCCCCAATTAACCACCCAAGAGCTGGAAGTATTGCTGTAGCTCAAGTGGCACACTGGCCTTGATTGAAAAAG